CCCCGATGCGAGGGGCCACCCACTGCCCTCCTGTCTCCCCATTGGGCAGGATGAGGTCTGCTGGCAGGGCTGGGTGGGGAAACTGAGGCACGAACGTCCCACCCCAACCCTGGAGCCCTGCAGGCACCCACAGCCCTGTGTCCCCTTGTGACCTGTTGTCTCACGGAGGGCTTGGTTGTCCTCTCGTGTCCCCTCCTGTCCCCCATGTCCCCTCCTGTCCCCTTCCCATCTCCAAGTCCCTCCACCGAATCCCATGTCCCCTCCCAGTCCCCCATGTCCCTTCCAGTCCCCTGGTCCCCTCCTGTCCCCAATGTCCTGCCCTGTCTCTTATGTCCCCTCCTGTCCTCGATGTCGCCTCCTGTCCCTCCACATCCCCTCCTGTCCCCATTCCCACCCTGTCCCCCCATATCTTCTCCTACTTTGTCCCCCATGTCCCCTCCTGTCCCTCCATGTCCCTTCCTTTTCCTCCTTGTCCCACCCATTCCCACGTGTCCCCTCCTGTCCCTCCATGTCCCCTCCATCCCCACATGTCCCCCTCATTGCCCATGACTCCTCCTGTCCCCATTCCCCCCCATCCCCATGTCCACCCACAGAATTCCCTGTCCCCTGCGCTCTGTCCCCCCACAATCCCTCCTCAGATTCACCCACTCCCCCCATATCCACCTTGTCCCCTTGACCCCCAACCCACGTCCCCCACACCAACAGGACAACTGCGAGCGGCTGGAGCTGGCACTGAGCCTGTGGGTGTATGAAGCACGGGACCTGCCACCTCGCCGGCGTCTCCGTTGTCACCTCCACCTGGATGGCACCCTCTTTGCCCGTACCACCGCCAAGGTGGCCAGTCCCGATGGCGAGCTCTTTTGGGGTGAACTCTTCCAGTTGGCTGCCCTACCACCTGCCCATGCCCTCACCCTTGCCCTTTGCCGCGATGACCATCCCGGTCAACCGATGGCCTCCATCACCGTCCCCTTGGCCGAGCTGGCGGCTTCTCGGCAGCCCCTGGAGCGTTGGTACCCACTGAGCGGTCCCGGGGGAGGTGAACGGGTGCCATCGGTGAGGGTGCGTGGGCGCTACCGGGAGGTGCGGGTGCTGCCCATCGTACGCTACAAGGAGTTGGCTGAGTTCATCACCTTCCATTACCGGGAGTTGTGTGCCCATCTGGAGCCCACCATCGCCGTGCGGCACAAGGAGGAGCTGGCCGGTGCCCTGGTCCGCGTCTTGCAGAGCACTGGGAAAGCCAAGGTGAAGCGGGTTCTGGCCATGAAGGATGTGGGGAGAGTGGGTGAGGGCAAAACGGGTGCTGCCTGGGGTGCTGTGGGCATGGCGGTTGGGCTGGGCTGGGCATCATGGGTTGGGACTGCCAAGACAGCTAGGGTGGGATGGGATGGGGTGGATGAGTTGGGTTGGGATGAGTTGGCATGGGTTGGATTGTGTTGGGATGGGATGGGGTGGAAGGGTTGAACTGGGTTGGGTTGGGATGGAGTGGATGGGGTGGATGGGTTGGGTTGGGTTGAGTTGGGATGGATGGATGAGTTGGGTTGGGGTGGGGTTGGGATGGGTTGGATGGGTTGGGTTGGATTAGGTTGCATTGGGTTTAGGTGGGGTTGGGATGGAGTGGATGGGGGGGGTGCGGTGGGGTGGTGTGGGGTGGGATGGGATTAGTGGGGTGGGATGGGAAACACAATTCAGGGGAATGCCGGGAGATCCTGGCACTTCCCAGGGTGGGTTGCTCAAGTCAGTTTGGGGCCATGGGTGCCCCCTGAGCCCTTCAACACAACCATCCCGCAGTCGTTCCTCATCGACCTCGGCGTGGCCGAGCTGGACCGCTTCGACGACCGTGAGGCACTAATCTTCCGTGAGAACACACTGGCCACCAAAGCCATCGACGAGTACATGAAATTGGTGGGGGGCAAGTACCTCCAGGACACGTTGGGTACGGCTGAACGTTGCAGGTCTTTGTGGGACTTTATGGGGTGTTATGGGGTGCAGGACATCCTGGACATGACATCACAGGGTGCTACAGGGCATCATGGGGCATACTGGGCTGCAGGACACCCTTAGAATGTCCACAAGGATGAGGTGGAGGCGTATCACAGCGATCCCCGTGGTGGTAGCTGGTCGGTCTCCTCACGGGCTGTTCCTTGGTGCCCAGGTGAGGCCGTGGCCCAGCTCTGCACCTCAGATGACAGCTGCGAGGTCGATCCCAGCAAATGCGCTGGCCTTGACCTCTCCGACAACCAGAACAACCTGCGGCAGGTCTGCGAGGAGACCTTCCAGCGCATCGCCACGTCCTGCGAGTGAGGGACAGCCCCTGTGTGGGCATGGGGTTGGGCATGGAGATGGCCATGCGGGTGGGCACCCGCACAGTGATGGACTTGGGGATGGACACCAGCATGGGCAATGGGAGAGGCACCATGAAGACCTGGGGACAGGCTTGGAGATGGGCTTGGCCACAGGGATGGGCTTGGGGACAGGAATGGGAATAGGCAGGAGGACAGGCACTGGCATAACGACGGGCACGGGGATGGGTTTGGGGATTGGCACCACCCCTGGCATGGAGATGGGCACCAGGAAGGACCTGGGGACAACCTTGGGAACAAGCACAGGGGACGGGCATGGTGACAAGCATAGGCATGGTGAGCACCATGACCCACAGCACATCATGGTGGGCAAGCAGAGGCATCTCTGGGGCCACCCACCTGCCCCAGGACCCATCAGAATGTCTCTCCTCACAGCGCCTTCCCAGCGGAGCTGGGCGAGATCTTCGCGGCATGGCAGGAGGAGTGCACGGCGCGGGGCAAGGCGCCCATCGGGCAGCGCCTGGTCTCAGCCTCCCTCTTCCTGCGGTTCCTCTGCCCTGCCATCATGTCCCCCAGCCTCTTCGGCCTCGTCCAAGAGTACCCGAGTGAGGCCACCGCCCGTACCCTCACCCTTGTGGCCAAGGTCATCCAGAACCTGGCCAACTTCACCACGTATGTCATGGCAGGGCACGGCACCGGTACCGGTGGGGAGGGACATCCCCATGGGGAAGCCACGGGGGGGTGGGGAAATCCCCTACAGGC